AGGGCCACATGATCCCTAAGGCCCCGAACTCCCCTTAGACTGGCGTTTCTAAAGGGGAGTTTCTCACACTGGACCTCGAAGGGGGGTTCCACCAAATCCGCATAGCGCGAGAGGACAGATGGAAAACAGTCTTCCGCTCGATACAAGGTCTTTTCGAATACAAGGTGATGCCCTTCGGACTAAAGGGGGCACCTGCCACCTTCCAAGCAAACATAAACGCCTACCTGAACCCATTACTAGGTCATGGCGTCATTGCCTACTTAGATGATATGCTCATATACAGCAATACTCTGGAGACACACGCTCTGCTTCTACAGCAAGCCCTTGACATCTTCTTGGAGCACCAGTTCTACCCCAAGCTGACTAAATGCAAATTCGGCCAACGAGAGCTAACATACCTGTGACATACAATAGGAGCAGACGGGATTAAACCCGCAGCAGATAAAGTGGAAGCAATCATCCTGTGGCCTGAGGCCCTGGCAAATGAAACACAGGTTCGGCAATTCCTAGGAACGGTTAACTACTGCAGGATGTTTATGGGACCGAAGTACGCCGATATTGCGCGCCCGCTAGTGGAGCTGACGGGCAAAAACTCACCTTTCCTTTGGAGAGAGGAGCACTCCGCCGCCGTCCGCCAACTTAAACAACTCCTCTCCGACTTCACGACCTTGCAGGTACCCGACGCAAATAAACCCTACACGCTCTACACCGACGCCTCGGGATACGCAATCGGAGCGGTCCTGGAGCAAGAAGGCAAGCCTGTGGGATTCGTCAGTCAGGTCATGACCCCTACGCAACAGAAGTACTCCATCTATGATCAAGAACTTCTGGAGCTCATCTCCGTCTTAGATAAGTGACGTCACCTACTTCGAGCCGCCAAGGTCACCGCCTACACGGACCACCAGGCACTCACGTACCTCAGATGTGCAAATTCACAGAAGCCCTTGCGTGGACGCACGGCCCGATGGCTAGACTTCTCGGCGGAGTTCCCGAACCTGACAATTTCTCATCTGCAGGGAGCACACAATAAGGTAGCGGACGCATTATGTCGGCATCCGCAGCACGCGCAGGCGGCCTCAGCAACATCACCAACGACTCTCGCGCCACTTCTCTCATCACAGCAGGGTAGAACATAGACGACCTCTCGGTATCTCACCCGACTATCTACTGGAATAGCGCCCAACACCAACTTCCGGGCAATGGTAGGAGAACGCCCGTCTCGCTCAGGCAGGAAGAAAACGACATCCTCAACAGCAGCCCCGGCAGCCTCGGTTCCAGCTAAATCTGCCGACGTAACGTTAGCAGAACCGCCAGCTTCGCCTACCAAACAAGCAGCCGCTCACACCACACCCGCAGCCTCGCCTCCACCTTCCTCACCATCCAGAGATCAGGTAGTCTCTCTCACAACAGCGGAACTCGTCTCGGGATCACCATCAGCACAGGAGTAATTGTCGCCACAACGCTGGGAAGACGCATATCTGCGCTGCCCTCGCTTCCGCGAAATCGTCTTGGCCGCATCTCATCACAACGAAGCAGAGCTTTTCCATCAGCTGCGGGGTCGTAGATATACCTTTAAATTTCGCCGCCCTTACTTATACATCTGCATAAACGGCCTCTGGCGCATCTGCTATCCCACTTTGCCTGAATTCCTTTCCCATATCCTCTACCGTCACCACGACCACGTCACCGCTGGGCACCGTGGCGAACGGAAAACGCTTCTCGCTCTCAGTAAGCTGTACTATTGGCCTGGAATGAGAGCGTACACAACCGCATATGTTGAGTCTTGTGTGCAGTGTCGAGCATCCAAGGTGTTATCGCAGAAGCCGGCAGGTCTCCTCCAACCACTACTCGTTCCTTCACGCCGCTGGAGCCACGCTAGCCTCGATTTTATAACAGACCTGCCCCTCACCCCTCGTGGACACGATTGCATTCTCGTTATCGTCGACTCCCTCAGCAAGATGGCACACTTCATTCCCACGAAGAAGACAGTAACCACAGCAGATACCATCGAACTCCTCGCCGATAGATTGATTAGATATCATGGACTTCCGGATGTCTTGATTTCCGACCGCAATCCGCGATTCCAATATCAACTTTGGCAGCAGCTCTGTCAGCGCGTTCACATCAAGAGAGCAATGTCTTCCCCTTATCACCCGCAATCAGACGGTTAGACGGAGCGAGTCAACCGCTGGAGCAAATGCTTCGCACGTACATCCAGACGGATGAACGGGAACGGGAGCGGCTGCCACCAGCGCTAGAGCTCGCTTATAACACCACAAGCCATTCATCTACAGAGCTTAGCCCCTTTGAGGTCATGATCGGCCAGAACCCGGTTACAGCGGCAGACCTGGACGTCGTTGGCAATCTCGCGCCCACCCTTACCCCGCCAATGACCAAATTATTTCAGCAGCTGTGCGATGGGGCCCAAAGCCATATTCTCAGGGCGAAGTGGCAGCAAAAACGTTATGCAGATGCTCACCGACGAGATGTACAATACAACCCAAACGATCGGGTCTGGATCAGCAGCAGCAACCTCCCGGGGCTCAATCAGTGCCCCAAGTTCGAGCCCCGGTTTCCTGGACCATTCAGAGTCTTGGAGCGCATCGGTCAATTCGCTTACCGCATCGAGCTTCCGCCAACCTATCCATGTCATAACGTATTCCATGTCTCTCAGCTTGTGGGTGGTTACCGCTGACAGGCCCGGACGGCGCTCCCACAGACACCTACGAGGTAGACTACATTCTCAACCAACGCGGCTCGCGAAAGGATATCCAGTACCTCGTTAAGTGGCGAGGCGCTCCTGAGGACCGCGCAACCTGGGAGCCGGCCGCCAACCTCACCAACTGCTGCCCTTCTTCGGGCGAGGCGACGTTATTTCAAGCGCGCAAGGGACAACCAGCGAGGCCCTCAGGACGTCGTCTCTCGCCCCGCGCACACTACCTCAGCAGGGCCCTCATCGCCGGCGTTTTTCTAGCAAAGGGGGGAAGGAGTGGCGCGGCACCCTCCGGCAGCCGCACCACTCAAAGCACAAGACTGCCTAAAGGAGCCGGAGCGAGATATAACGATGGGAAGTACTATGGACTCCGAAGCGGACCCCGAAAGGTGTACCGGCCGAGAGGTAGAAGACGGGGGTGTTGTACCGGAAACAAGGAAGTAAAGGAGGCAAGTGGGGAAGGGGATAAACACATCTACGCTAGAAGGGAAGAAGTTTCAAGGAGTGACAGGAAATTTTCGGCCGAAGGGGGAAGTTGTAGTGCACTGTCACTACAATGCACTGTGGTAGATAACTAGCGGACGTATGAGACTAAAGACTCATAATGCTTAATTAATTCAACTAATAAAATGTAGGTTAGTAGAACAAATCGCAGGGCATCCATAGAGCCCGTGGATAGCCGGTACCTCGTAGAGGTAGAGGCACAGCCACCGCAGAAACACGGGTCGGCCGTACCCACGTGGTTCTAGCGGCCGGCCGGGGCGGGTCGCCTGGCAGGGCGCGAGGATCGGACTGAAATCGAGGGAGAGAACTAATTTTGCTCTAATATTTGTCCGCATAACAGCTTGTTTAATTGGTTTAGGTGATTTATTCGCCGAAATTGCCCGTGTAATTACATTTTCTCCGCACTCTCGCGGCTAGTGTACGAGTGACTAGACACCGCCAGGCACTACAGTGGCACTCAGGTGCTGCTGTGGGAATTCAGCTTTGCCGCAAGATGGAGCTTTGCCAACCTATAAAATACTTAGTAAAATACATATATATATATATATATATATATATATATATTTGGCTCTTGAGTGCTACTGTCTCTGTTTACAGGTAGANATATATATATATATATATATATATATATATATTTGGCTCTTGAGTGCTACTGTCTCTGTTTACAGGTAGATGCGTGAGAAGTTAATGTAGAAAAAAAACTGAGGCCTGCTTACACCGTTAGCATCCTTATGAACTGTAAAGGAGACGATCCATCACTAGCTGCTATATAAAAACACCCCACAAAAAAAAACCGTAGAGCCAATAAACCCTGGACCGCCTCCAAAGGAGACGTTCCCAGACCCTGGCAATCATCGCCAGAGGAGTCGATCCCACCCATGCATATGCAGCACAGCATCTCTAGGGGAGTTGATCTGCTGTCTGGGGATCGTCTCTTTCAAAAGCTATCCCCGAGTCGATCCCCTGCGTGGGGATCGTCTCTTGAGACTCGATCCCGTGGATCGGCATCGACTGTGTGGGGTTTTACATCACCCCACGACAGTTCGGCGCCCCACAACAGCAGATCTCTTGCTGCAGCGAGCTTTCAGACAGACTGCATGCAGCACAAGACAGCACAATGAAGCCCACCGCTGCTACTTGCTGCAGTAAACACAAAGAGGCTGCTGCTTGTGCTGCCACTCCTGCTGTTGCTGCTTGTGAAGGTCTACGAGTCCGTGCTGTCTCTTCCGATTCGCTTTGGCTGCAATTTGTCACTATTATTATCATTGGTTTTTGTTATAATTATTTATTGTTGTTAGTATTGTTAGTGTTTATTCTTAAATATAATAATTATAATAGTAACAACAATATGAATAGAAACTTTGTTAGTCTTAGCATCTGTCACCAGCTCGGGAGGGCAACACCTCCCTCCGAAACAGCACAGACAGCAGCAGCAGTACAGACAGCAGCAGCAGCAGCACAAACAGCAGCAGCACAGAAGACAGCAGCAGCAGCCCGTACTGCAGCAGCAACCCGTACAGCATCAGCAAATCAATGGTGTCTTTATTGCAGCTACGCCTTTTTCTACTTTTTTTTGTTTGTCTGACCTGTAATTATACAACAGCTCCTCCCCCATTTTTATGTCTCGCAACGCCAACAACCCCACGTGGCTGCCCCCATCTTCTTCGTCTTCATCCTGCATCAGCAGCAAACACAAGTATGCATGCATACAGTCATGCATGCACGCGTACAAGCGTACGTGTATGCATGCATGCAAAGTAAGTAAAACAATGGATGCATGCATGCATCCATGCATGCACGCATTCATGCATTTAAGCCCTCTGCCTGCCTGCCTGCATACATGCATACCTGCATGCATGCATGCATGCATGCGTGTATGCATGCATGTTGTTGCTTACGAGTATATCAACAGTGCAGCAATTGGGTGCACAGGAGTGGTTGATGAATCGGGTTGCAGTGCCGCATGCAGTTGCATCGACGATGAGTCCGTCTTTGAGGCGAAAGAAATAAGTGCTGCCCCCCATACTCTCCACGTACTGACTCTCTCTAACAAACAAAACAATACAAAGCAACGCAATAACAACAACCCCACCATTATACAATATAGAACAATAACAACAACCCCACAATTATGCTTTACAAGGCAGTAACAACAACCCCACCATTATGCAGCCGAACAAAAACGCAACACAACACCACCACCCGTAGACACCACACCAACCATAAACACCACAACCCCACCGTCCTGTAACAACGCACAAACGCAATGCCGCGCATGCCCTTTCCAGGCACCCGCATGCATGCATGCATGCATGCATGCATGCATGTACTGGAGATGCGTTGCATGTAAAGCCCCAAATGGATATTCTTACAAGAAGTTGGCCTTCGCCTCGGAGACACAATTCCCCGCGTACTCCACTATAAACTCTCCCCGCTTTATTGGCTCTGCAGCAAACACGCCCCAGCTGCAGCAGCAGCAGCGACAGCAGCAGCAGCAACAGTACCCATATTAC